CCACCCGAGGCCTTCACCACACTATTGGTTCTAAAGTGAAAGTATGCAAAACAGCATACAGCAATCTCCCTCCCACTCATTTCCTCTGGAACCCGAGTTCTTTGTCCCAAAGGAAACCAATATTATGCTTCTTGTGAATCCTTGCAGAAATATTTTATGTACTACAAGTACATATGTCTGTATCATTACATTTATATTCTTTTTAAAAAAAATCTTTCAGGTTTTTCTGGTTATAAAATTAATACATGTTCCAACGCTTTTGCGATTATAAATAATACTGCAACAATCATCTTTGCAATGTTACCTGAGTTCCAATTTTCATTTCTTTAAAATAGAGTCCTATAAGGAGAATTTCTACGTTCTTTAAAATACTCGAAATACCCCTAAGAGGGAGATCTTATTATGCTATTATTAGGTACTCACCACTATAAGAAAGAGCGCTGAATTTGTGGTAGAGACCTGAGTTTGAATCTTGGTTCGACCACTAAAACATACTTCACCAGTTCCATAAAATAACCTCACGCTCTCTTTGTGGTACATAATATTGAATACCCATCATGCACTCTTACCGCCAATACTTTAAAATAGGGCTGGGGAACCGGATGTAAAAGAGGGGAGGAAAGAAAACTTTCTTTCTTCCCTAAGGTAAAGGGGTTCTGGATCCTGGAGCCCTTTGTTTTTCCAGGCACTAGAAACCCACTGCCCATGAAATGGGTGTGCATCTTGCGATAAAGACAGGATTCTATTCACTAACGTTCACCCCATGTCCATCTCTATCCCCCTGTAACACCTAGCAATGTTTGGCACACAATGGGCACATTTCACGTGTCTTAAAAAGCCTAAAAGGTTGCAACTGGGCGCCAATGGCTCCAAGGTTGCAACTAGGCCAAGTCCTGCACTAGTGCGCCGCCTCCTGCCCAGCTGGAGAAAGGCCTAAGAAAGACTACATTTCCCGGCTTCCCTTGAGAGCTATTTCCGGCTATCTCGGAAGGACATTGACGAACACGTGAGGCCCTCTGTTAGGTTGAGCTGCGCACGGAATTGGAAGCTCCTGCTTCAGCGAAATCATGTTTCTCCAGTATTACCTCAATGAACAGGGAGAACGGGTCTATACCCTGAAGGTGAGTGGGGGGAAGGCTGTACATGGGCTTGGCGAGAATTGTAGGTGGGAGGAGAGGTTGAGACCAGCCGCCGAGTCGCCTAGCTGGGTGAGGGGAACTGGAAAGCCCAGAAGCCGGGCGTGGTGGAAGCTGGAGTGACTGCTTATCTGACCGCCGCGCCTCCTGTCTTCCTCTTGACCCTTTTTCGCGCTTCCCCTTCCCCATCCCAACCTCCAAGTTTCTCACGACGCCAGTGATTGAGTTTTTGCACCACTTCTGTACTGAGATTATGTCCTGTCTTTCTTCCTCGAGCAGAAGTTTGATCCTCTAGGACAACAGACCTGCTCGGCCCATCCTGCTCGGTTCTCCCCAGACGACAAATACTCTCGACACCGAATCACCATCAAGAAACGTTTCAAGGTGCTGATGACCCAGCAGCCGCGCCCTGTACTCTGAGGGTCCCTTAAATTCCATGTCTCTCCTGCCACCTGCTACCCCTTTCTGAGACTACGAAACCAAGCTTTTCAGCCTGTGAGCCTTGAAGCCTTCTCACCGCCCTTGCTCTGTGGAATCCGGTGTCATCAGTACTTTGGAACATGCTTGTGCGAAGCAGTCATGGTAGCATCCCCCTTAAAGGGAACAAGTTTGAATCTTCTTTTCATATTTTGAGTCACTGCCAGGTTATTAAAATAATTTGAAAGAGCTCTTATTTTACATGTTGTGTAAAGGAAAGGGTGGTTTAGAAACAAAACAAAAAAAAACACACAAAAAAAACGAGGAAGATGAGAGGGAAGAGTAACCCAGGGGTATACTTGGAAGAAAATCTTAAGTAACTGCCATAGCTGGAGTAGTGCTGTACTTTTAGTGATAGGAGGGTGTTGGTGAACGGAAGGAAAGGTTGAGAAAGACTCTCACATAATTGTATGCATTCACTAAGCAATAACCCTGCAGTCATGTAATTTCTTGCCTCTTGCAATGACATTTTGGCTCAAAATGGAAGAGTTGCTTGACAAATAATAGCCATATTATATGTAGAGGGAAGTTAGTGAATTGGAAGTCAAGAGACCAGGATTCTCCTCTATTTGTATAACTTTAAGTCACTTAACCTATTTAGCCCCACTTTTGTCATCATTTCTAAGTTTTCTTCCAACTCTAAAACTGATTGGGTTCAGTGTTGGACCTTAATATATCTACTGTATTGTCCAGCTATTGTGAATGGGGATGCCTTTATGCATATTTACTGCCCCTCGGGTAATATTCCCAGGATTTTAGTTCTCTTCATCAAGGAATTGCCCTCTTACATATACCTAACTTTATATTCTGTCTGGCAGCTAGCTGCCATGTGGAACTACATGATCTTAATTTAAAAGATGAGATATGAGAGATTCAAGCAGGGATTTTGTTGTCTTTCAAGCTACTATTGGGGGTTAATAAAAAAACCCTGGGAGATTTCTGAGTTTTGGAGCAGCTGTCATGGGACAACCATAAAAATTTTAATCCAGTTACTTTATATTACACGGAAGATGAGGCAAAATATTGTAAATGGTCATTCAAAAAATGCTATCTTGCTTTTTTGTCTCCCTCTCTCTGTCAAGTTAATCCACTCATTTCCCAATCTCGTTTGTGGCTTTTGACATTGGATTTGAATATTTGCTTAGTGCCACAGAAAAATTGCTTTGTGGAGATTGTGTTCTAATTATGCAATATTTTTCTATTGCATCAAAATTGTAGACTCCAGAAGCAGATGTAACTTAAATCAGTGCAAATTTGATTTATGGTTTCTCTTGGAATCTGATGTCTGAGCATCCCAGCAGAAAAGACTAACGAGAAAAAAAAATCTAAACTTGGGTCATAGTTAATGGAAGACATGACTTCATGACTTTCAAATCAATTACTTTAACTTATAGGAATAGTGAAATAAAATACTTGTCTCCTGTCGAGCAATTTTTTATTTCTTAGCCTATCCTCTTACAGGGTTCTTAGCAATGCATCTGATGGATTTTAAAGAGTTATCCTGTCATATTAAGGGGATAATGATTGAAGAAATGTTAGAAATTCTGCAAATGGCTAGAAAAAAGAATCTGCTATGGAAGTTCCTTAAGCGCCAAAGTCAGTTAATGAAATCTTGCATTTTTTTAGATGTTGACTGTAGTTCTATCTTTATAATTTACCCCATCACCCCCCTCCCAGCCCCACTTCCTCGGTGCTATGTTCTGTGTAGACTGAACTGATAAGACTTTGACCTGGAAATATTCTGAATTGAAATAGAGTAGAAAGACAAACTGGCTTGAATGTACCAAGGACTTTTTGCTTAAGACATCCCCTAGGTATTAACATCTGAGACATGCTTAGAAACAGAAGAGTCTTAACAGGTTTAGGATATTGGTAGTAGGTAGTATATACGTATGTAAGTGAATGAAAATACTCTGTGGTAGAAAACAAAATTGGATGCAGTAGAACTCCAGCGTTTCTTTCTAAAGGGAAAGTCTCTGAGATGTGAATGAACAGCGGATCTGCCTGAGAAAAAACGGATGCCTCAGGTAGGTCAATTTCTTGCTTCTTGAAGTTAGAATCAATAGGCCAAGCTTCATAAAAGCATCTAGCTTTGAGGAGGTTTACATTTTTAAGTGGGAATTGTTTCACATTTTGTTACCTGGATCTTTTTTCAGACTTTGGACTTTGTCATTTATTAAAGGGAAATTCCTGGCTCAGGTCTTAATACAGTTCTGATTTGTTGCTAAGGATGATGCTTAAACATTTCCACTTGTGTAGAGGAAGGGCAAAGGCAAAGCTAGGGCCCAGATTGTTAAATTTAAATGTCTTGATCAAAGCTACAAGAAATAACTTTCAAACAAAACATTGATGAGCCAAAATATGTTGAACACCTCTATTCGTGTATTAAATAAACATGCTAAAAACATTCTGGTGGCAGTAGTAGGGAAAACATTGGGAATGGAGTCAAGAGAAATTACCTTCAAGTCTAAAAATTTTTTTTTTTTTAATCCTCAGCCAAGGATATTTTTTTCCACTGCTTTTCAGAGAGAGTGAAAGGGGGAGAGAGAGAGGTAGAGAGAAACATCGATTGGTTGCCTTCGGAATGTGTCCCTACCAGGTCCAGCAATTGAGCTGAGGTACATGCCCTTGGCTGGAATCAAACCCGAAATCCTTCAGTCCATGGGCTGACAATCTAACCACTGAGCAAAACCGGCTAGGGCCAGGTCTAAAACTAAAGGTGTTTTCGTTGATGGAATGTTCAGTCTGGCTAGAAAGTGAATATAGCAATTTTTTCAGCTTTATTGAGGTATAAATAGTTGACAAACTACATATTTAATATGTACAACATGATTTTAATAGATGTATACACTGTGAAAGGCATAGCACAAAGATAGGAAAAGGAAAAATGTAACAAAGTGCATAAATTCAAGGAGACAATGCAGTGATTTTCAACTTTTTTTAATCTCATGGCACACATAAACTACTAGAACTCTGGCACACCAAAAATACATATATTTTGCCAATCTGACAAAAAATAGGTATAATTTTGATACATTCACACTGGATGGCTATTGTTTTATTGGGTGTTTTGACACTAAGGGAAAAGAGGTTAGTGCCCCTGACCAAATTGTAAGGTAGTGTATGTTTTAAAAATTACTACAGCATACCAGTTGAAAATCACTGACACAATGCTTTAGACCTCTACATAAAAATTCCACTAAGGGAAGGGTCATACCTAGACACGTGGTATTTGGAATGTTCGTGATTTTTTAAAAGAAATCATGAATTTTCAGGGACGCTCTTATTAAAGGGGATTTTTGAAGTCCTCAGGACAAGGGGAAATCACTGACACAATGCTTTAGAATAGACCTCTATATAAAAATTCCATTAAGGCCCTGGCCGGTGGCTCGGTGGTTAGAGCGCGGGCCCTGCGGCCGCGAGTTGGATTCCTGCCAAGGGCATCTCCCTCCGTTTCCGCCTCCAGCCCTGGTGGGGAGGTAGGGGGAGGGGAGGCAGCCAATCCATGGGTCTCTCGCTCATCGATGTTTCTCCCCCTTCTACTCCCTGAAAAGAAATGGGGGAAAAAATATCCTCGGGTGAGGATAATAAATAAAAATTCCATTAAGGGAAGGGTCATGATATTAGGTGGTTTGTGATTTTTTTTTAATCATAAGTTTTCGGGGACACTCTTACTAAAGAGGGTGGGTTTTTTTGAGGTTCTGAGGACAAGCGGCAGGGCCTGCTCCCTGAGGTACCTCCAGACTGGGTAGGGGCAAGAACGCAGGACCAAGAAGGAAAAGGATTTGCTAAGTGCGCGTAGCTTTGGTCCAAACGCACGACTACAATTCCCGTGCTGCTCAGGGCCTCCGACGGGGCCCCGCCCCTCGCCCGCCGGACTCGCCGCTACTCCAGCGAGCGCATGCGCGCTTGCACTCCGTCCGCCTGCGGGCCGCGCAGACTGGGCGGGGCTCCCGGAGTTTGCGGGACCGTTCCGCCCTCCGACCGTTCCCCCGCTTCTCTTCGGACCGTTAGCCTCGAATGAGGAACAAGCCGGGAGGGAAGGGAGGGGCTGCGGCTGCGCCGGTACAGCCCGCTGGACCCGGGGCCGGGAGCGGCGAGGTCACGTAACTGCAGCTCCGGCGTCTGGCCGGCCCCCCGGGCAGCGCGAGCCCTCCGCCTCCGGGCGCGCTGCGGCTCGGAAACAGTTACCGGCTTGTAAACAACAGCTGCGCGCGCATCCCCTGTCAGCTGGCGCCGGGATCCCACACCTGCGACCTCCTTCAGTCATCGCCGCCTCCTCCTGCTCGGCCAGCCAGCACCAGCTTGCGAGGCTGTCTCCTCTTCTGCTGGGACTCGAAGGAAAAACGGCGAGGGGGTGACCTGCGCCAGGGACCTGGTAGGAGAGAAAGCGTCTCCCTGCGAAGAGGTGGCCTGTCCTGTTACACGCAGGAGAAACCTAGCGGGCGGACCGTGGGCTCGATGGACTAGCAAGGACCTGCCACGATCCTGAGCTGCAGTCCGAGGTGTCTCGATCCGCTAGCCTCTCTTCCCAGATCCCAGGAACCTTTCTGCCAGAAGAGCGGGTGGGCCACCCCCGCAGACCTCTGAGAGGCAGGAATCCGCTCTGCCCCTGCATCCTCCCCTGCTCCCCTTCTCTCCTCATTCTCCGTCCTAGTGTGGGATATTTTTCCCGTTATGCATGCGCACCTCTCCCACCAGACCCAAGTGGATTATCGGCCTCAAAAACCTCGGGTGGCTCTACTGCACACACCTCCTCCCAGCCAGACCTGTGGGGTATTCACCTGATATACAACAGGTGGCCGGTGTACACCGTTTTGCAATCTCTCTGCTATATTTGCATCATAAGGGTGGGCCTGTGCGCGCCTGGCTCAACTAAAACCGTGAGACTTTTACCAGATAAAGAACTAACTACCTCGGTCGAAACCTGGGGGTCGAAGGGAGAAAGCCTTCACCTGCTTCTCTAAGATCATGGCACTGAGCCCGCAGCCCTGGATCAGAAGACATAGTTAGATAGCTCTTCATTCTGAAGGAACGAAGTTACACGAGACTGGCATCGTTTTGTCTTTTTTTTCCTTAAATATTTTTCAGCTACTGGTAGTGCACTTTCTAGGTCAGTCTGCTTGAATTCTGAGTATAAAGATTCTTATTTGGGTCTCTGTGTGGTGTAAATCAAGGTAATTGAGATTTTTTTAAGTTATCTTTTCTATTTTTGTGATCAAAAGCAGCTAGCTAGGAGGAAGGATTTTGCGGGTTTTTCTGTTTTGCCCTTATAAAGGAGGAAAAAAGAAAAAAGAAAAATGCATCCTCCAGAAACCACCACCAAGATGGCTTCAGTTCGGTTCATGGTGACACCAACGAAGATTGATGATATTCCGGGTTTGTCAGACACCAGCCCAGACCTCAGCTCCCGGTCCAGTTCCCGAGTAAGATTTAGCTCCCGGGAGAGTGTGCCTGAAACGAGCCGTAGTGAGCCTATGAGTGAGATGTCTGGAGCCACCACTTCACTGGCCACGGTGGCACTGGATCCAGCCAGTGACCGGACTTCTAACCCCCAAGACGTTACTGACGGTAAGTAGAAACACAGATGACAGGATTCTTTCCTTACTGGCTTATTTACCAAGGATAACTGTTTTCTGGGAGATCGTTTTTCTGATTTATATGCAGTAATCAGGAACCTCTTTTTGAGATTCTTAGGAACCCTTTGAAATAATGGTTAGCATAGTGGTTCTCTGCAGTAGTAATTTGGCCTGTGGGAAGATACATGGCAAGAAGAAAAGTAGATGTACGTTTTGACTTCCTTATTTTTATCTCCTTAGAATTGAAATGCGTATTTTGGTTAAGGATGAATGGCAAAGAATTTAATAGATTTTCAGCACAGAGAATACTAAATTGTAAAATGTAGCGGAGAGCTAAGTTTTGGGGCTCTTAACTTCTACAGTCTGTTTTTAAGGCTACTTTACAAGGAGTAGTTATTGATCACATTAGTTATTGGCTTTTCTACAAAGACTTGAGATATTGTATCACAAAGTTCTTTATATATTTTTTACAGAGACAGTAGTTCAAGCAGCTAAACTCACTCTGGGTGAGGCTGGGTAGATTTAGCGTGCTATCTTGTTGAATATAGAAATCCTAAAGACGCTTTTAGGGCCTGATTCCCACATAATTTTTTGACTTTGAACTTTAAGTGGAATGTATTGAGTATTGAGCCTTTGTAGTGAGAAAGCACACAAGCCACTTCTAACTTAGACTGACCACTGCAGACTTAGCTTCTTGAACCAGTTTGTGTTGGCTAGCTTGGATGTTTTCATTGGATTTAGTGGGAAGAAGTGATGAGAGAAATGAATGGAGAGATCATAACATTTTTAGGATTCTAAAGTTTGAGAACTACTATATTGCTTTATGTATTTAGTTTTATATTTTTATATATTTAGTTCTATATTCTAACTAATGTAGATATGACTGGTAGTGAAAATTCCTTGTAAGAATCTTAGACTCTGAAAATGATATTCTACCCAAATTTGAAAACCATAGCTTCAACCACTAACCTGTAAAAGCAAGTCTGCCTTAACCATTTTCTAGTGTCAGAAAATGTTGTTCCTCCTTACCTAAAGGATGCAGGAAACCAGAATGATTTTAGTTCCTTATTTCTGTTTGTACTGTTAAATGTCTGGAGACAAGGTAGATTTGGTAAAGCTAATAGTCCTAGAATTATCCTCAACTAATCATTTATTTAATGGAGATATTACAGGTTGGTTCCTGGACTTATTTTCAACTTGACAAACTTTACACTGTGTACCACAGTATCAAAATTACATTATGAAATAAAAAATAATTCCTTTCTTCCAAACTAACTCTAAAGTATAGTTTTAGTTACTTATCATACGGTATTGAGGTGGTAAGATTACCAGGTAAAGACTATATTGGTGCTAATTTTTTTATTGCTGTAATTGTTATTAGGTAATTTATAGTTAAGTATTGTTAGGCTTGTGGCTTTTCTGTTATGGAATTGTATTTGTATTTTGTTTTAAAAAGTGGGTTTGTTTCTATAATGTGTTAGCTTTCCAGAACAGGATTCTTGCCCAGGCTACTATCTTACCTGTAAGCATTCTTTACAGGCCAGAGTGCTATCGTTTTATACTATAAGGGGAAAACTGAGGACATGTCTAGGTGAAATGTTGTGTAGGTGGGTACA